ATCTTCATCTTCGGCTGCTTCATGTACAACGAGGACGTCAAAACCCTCGCCGATTTCCCCTTCTCCCGCCCCAAGCCAGCGGAGCAATCGAGCAGTGATTTAGGCACAACTAGCAACGGCAACGGCAACGGCAACGTCGCCACTGTCTCGGTTGTCGTGAACGCGCGGACCGTGGTGGAAAGCGAGGTGGAGGAGCCGGAAATCGATCGAGCGGGTAACTCGAAATCGAGCCCCGAAAACGAAGGAGATGAAGGATTTGAAGAGGAAAGTAAGAAGCGGATCGAAATTAGAGCTGGGGAGAACGATAACGATGAGGATGAAGATGAGAATGAAGATGATGGCGAGGAAATCGAAATCCCGCCGGAGGATTGCGATTTGTTCACCGGCGAGTGGGTTTTTGATAACGTCACCCACCCGTTGTACAAGGAGGATGAATGCGAGTTTTTAACGGCGCAGGTGACTTGTATGAGGAATGGAAGAAAAAATTCACTGTACCAGAATTGGAGGTGGCAGCCCAGAGACTGTTCTTTGCCTAAGTAATAATAATTATTATTATTATTATTATTATTATGCATTGTTAATTTTAATTTTGCTTGAATTGTTTACAGTTTTAGTTAATGTTTGGGGTGATTATAGCGATTAACCGGATAATTAAATCCTACTGTTGTGGTTAAAAACACCACCATAAAAAATAATGACTCACATAATTGTTCCCCGCACTTATAGTTCGTTTTATTCCCCGCTTACTTATCTTATGATCTGTTGCAACTTCCAATTTAAGTCAAAAGTTCTCTTTTTAAGAAAACATCAGTTCCTTAAGGGTATATGTAAAATTTATACAAACCTGAGGGTTGAATCTCCAGTTCTTAAAAAAGCATGGGTCTTTCTGTATTAGAGTAAAACAGGGGAAGCAAGTAGCAGCAGTGCTTATAATTTTGAAAGGTGTCTGATCTCTTCCACTTGAGTCTTAAATTATTTTATAGCCTTGCTGATCAACTTATTGATTTAGTATGTAAACTTTTGAATGTCTTTTTAAGGTTTAAACCGAGACTGTTGCTCGAGAAACTGAGGAACAAGAGGCTGATGTTTGTCGGGGACTCTTTGAACCGGAATCAGTGGGAATCGATGATATGTTTGGTTCAGTCGGCAGTTCCTCCCGGCAGGAAGAACTTGAACAAGACTGGCTCTTTATCTGTTTTCAGAATTGAGGTATATATAGACAAGTATATGTTACAAGCATTATTATTGCTAAAGTTATACTTTACTTGCTTAAATGAAGTGAAATATTCATAAAAATTAAAAGTATATTGAAAAGCAGATGAAGTTAAATGCGACTTCGAATAGGAAACTTCCTCTTTAAGCAACTAATAACAGTTATAACTTAAATGTTGTCCTTAGACTTTGCTTAGATTAGAAGAATCCTGTTACCAGTACATATTCACATAATCTGTTGGCATGTGAGCATTTAACCACCCTATGTAATCAAAGGCATGTTGGTCATATGTAGTAGCTGAATGTTTGTCGAAAGAAATGAAAGAAGTTTCTGTTTTTCGATTTTTTTCAACATACTCGAGTGTTGTGTACCTCTGAATCTGCAGGATTACAATGCTACGGTGGAGTTTTATTGGGCTCCGTTCTTAGTCGAGTCCAACTCGGACGACCCAAACATGCACAGCATATTAAACCGCATCATCATGCCCAAGTCCATCAAAAAGCACGGCAAGAATTGGAAGAACGTAGACTACCTCGTCTTCAACACGTACATTTGGTGGATGAACACTTTTGCCATGAAAGTCTTGTAAGTCTTTTTTTTTTAATCAAAACTTACTCTCCTCTGTAAGAGTTTTGGGTTGATTAAGATTGATGATTCTAACACTTGGGATCGGTGGGTAATAATGAAACAGGCGAGGCTCGTTTGACAAAGGCTCGACCGAGTATGATGAAGTGCCGAGGCCTGTGGCTTATAATCGAGTGCTGAGGACGTGGTCCAAATGGGTCGACAAAAATGTGAACCCAAACCATACCCAAGTATTCTTCATGAGCATGTCACCCCTCCACATCAAGTAATATGATCTCAAAGTTTCCCTTTTTTCAACATCTAGGCGTAAACCTAACTGAAAAGCTAGCTCATAGTTCATAAGTAAATTGATTAGCTTATATTCCCTCCGTTTCAAATTATAAGTCGTTTTGACTTTTTTTATTCATCCATTTTCCTATGTATCTAGACATAATAATATTATTATCTAGATACATAGCAAAGTGGATGTACCGAAAAAGTCAAAGTGACTTATAATTTGAAACGGAGGGAGTATTAAATTTCAAGCTTATAGTTAATAACTTATGAGTGGTGGATGAGGTTGAAGACTGAAAAAACTAGCTGCCGGTATGATAAAATTAATTGATAAAATTAACTGGTATAGTGGTTAAAAATCTAGTTGATATAATAAAGGCTAAAATGCAATTTATGTCATATTAGATTATAAAGGTAGGAAAATAAGTCTCACTAAAGTGATCTATAGCAACTTAAGTCTTGTAATAAATGTTTTTTTAAATGACACGATTTATATTACTAATAAAAAACCCATCACAAACATGTAATTTTGGAATTTTAAATGACTAGAGTTGCAACAAAACTAAATTATTAGACTTAAATTGTTATATATCACTTCAGTGAGACCTAAATTGCTATCTTATATTCAAATAGGACCGAAATTGTATTTTTACCTATAATAGTATTTATTTGATGAAATCAGTTGGTAAGTCAGCTAAAACAAAAATTTTAGCGGACATTCTGAAGAGCTAAAGAAGTTTATGAAGTTCATCCTATCAAATCAAATTTATTTGAATATAAGAAAGCAAATGTATAATGCTTACCAATCACAACACTAAAATTCTCAAATGATTCTAAAAAATTCCTCCTTACATTTTTTTTTATTTTTTTATTTTTTTTTTCGAAAAAATGGCAGAAGCTTGGATTGGAACAACCCGAACGGCATCAAGTGCGCGAAGGAGACAACCCCAATACTCAACACATCGATGCCGCTCAATGTGGGCACTGACCGACGGTTGCTAGCTGTCGCGGCCAACGTGACGAGGTCCATGCGGGTCCCTGTTCATTTTATGAACATCACGACCCTGTCCGAATACCGGAAGGATGCCCACACGTCCGTGCACACGATCCGGCAGGGGAAGCTGTTGACCCCTGAGCAGCAGGCGGACCCCACCGGTTTTGCCGACTGCATCCACTGGTGCCTGCCGGGGCTGCCCGACACATGGAACGAGTTCCTTTATGCGCGTATTATGTCGCGTTCTTGACACTATTGACTATACGTAACATGGATGTTGTGTTTTGTTGTTCAACTAATTGTTGCCCGAGTAAAAAGTTTTGGGATCTTTTTTTGGTTAGTTGGGGGAGGCAGCAGTGTGGTTGTGACTTGGGGACGTATAAACAATTGTAAAATGAAATGCAAAAAATAAAGGGGAAATATCAATAATGAAAAAAGGGGAAAAAGGAAAAAATTGTGACTAATATCTCAACTTGGATAAATTTGGTTTCAATTACGTGAAGTTTGATATAACATCTTATTGACACGATGAGTAATGCTCCCCTATCTTATCCATGATAGATACATGTTAATATGTCCACCGTTTATGTGACATGCATATATTGGTGATGTATTTTTTTAAAGATATTAACATCACCAATGTGTGCATGCCACATAAGCGGTGGGCATATTAACATGTGTCCACCGTAGTAGGTGAGCATTATTGTTGACATGATTCGTATAAAGAAATGGTTGCCCATGGGAATAGAATTATCATTCTCTTATCCATTGGTATATTTTTTTTTAAAGGAAGAAACTACAAAACCCATATTTATGAAATTAGCTATTTCATATAAAAAATACAAGTTTTTTCATTTCCATAAATGTAGAAATCATTTTTTTAAAAAATAGAATTAACAAATAATAATAAAAGATAAATATATAATATATACTATAAATCATGGTTAAATTATATTAAATAAATTTATTTAAAAAAATGAATCTCAAATAAAAAAAATATAAGAACTTATTTTTATTTATTGTTCATATCTTAATTATATATATTAAATATATACAACAACAACAATAAACCATTAAAATCCCACCAAGCGGGTCGGCTATATGGATCGCATGTCGCAATCGTGCTCGATATATCAAAACACATATTCTCATTCAAATTTAAATTTTGAAATTATTTTTATTTGTTTCATTCCAATACTTAATGCGTTATTAATTCTAATGTTTCTATCTTTCTCAACGGAGTCTCAAAGTCTCTCCTGTGCACATGTCCAAACCATCTTATATAAAAATAAAACTAAAATATTGTATTTATAAATAATTTAAAAAATATGTTTTTTATTCCCATACATCATATATATATTATATTTATTCATAAATTGAATTATAATATAAAAAAAATTATATTCGATCACATATGCTTATAGGGGTTTATGTAATGATATATTTGTATTAGTTAATATGTACATGAATGCACAATTCACTAATTTATTATATAATATATATGAGTGTAACAATACAAAAATATATTTATTAAACTTAAGCATATTTTTTTAACAAATATAACAATAAAATATCATAAATTAAAAATTTAGCATTAATATAAATATTATTTTTTTTTTATATAAAATAGTGATAAATAATAATCAAACGATCATGACATTTCATTCAGATCTTATTCATTCTACATATCAAATACATCAATAGAAAAACGTGTTTCATTCATTTCCTACATTCATTCAATTCCTACAAAATTCAATTTCATTATACCATTCACAACGAGTTATCCAATGGAACGAGGTAATGAGAAGGTAGCTTAGCTTATTCAGGTATTAGCGGCTCAATGGCAGCTTGAACTATGAAAGAGTCGAGTTATTCCATCTGTATAGGTATTACCAAATTTCCCTCGTAATGTTCAACTGATTTAAAGTTTAAATCAATTTATTTAATTACTAATAAAGAGAAATATTCACCTACCTGAAGGCACATGTTAATATGTCCACCGCGTAGGTGTCATGCACTTATTGGTAATGTGTTTTTTTAAACATATTAACATCACCAATGAGTGCATGTGTATGCCACCTACGCGGTGGGCATATTAACATGTGTCCCGGAGCACTACTCGTACTACTAAAATCTTGATTTTTTTAAACTCCTTGATTTTCGGTATAAAAACGAAAAATTTGATTTCATTCAGTTTGATGAGAATCAATTAATGCCGGGAATATTGATGAAAATTAGCTAAAAAAATCGTATTTAGGCGCGCTTTTTCAATCCCGAATTCCATCTATAAATACCGCAATCTTCACCCCTTCTTCGCTGAACTAGGGTTCCTGCAAAATCTCATTGGAGAAATGGCTAGCGGAGCCAAAATCTCCGTCTCATGGGCCGACCTCCCTAAGGAACTCATCCACAAGATCGGCAAATGCCTCGACACGGAGACCGACGTCCTCCGCTTCCGCGCCGTCTGCAACTCCTGGCGCTCCTCGACGACGCCGTTTAAGAACCCCCTCCAGACGCCGATCAAGCTCCCGTTCCCCTTCTCCGCTGCCGACGGCGGATCAGGTGAGCACTTGGCCCTCTCCGAAAGAATCGTCTACCGCATCCAAATGCCTGATTGCACAGGTGAGCACTTGGCCCTCTCCGAAAGAATCGTCTACCGCATCCAATTGCCTGATTGCAAACAACCCAATTTCTGGGTGGCGAAGGTCGAGAGGTCGGGCGACGGCAAACTGCAGCTTCTGAATCCTGCGAGCAACCACCGGATAAAGATCCAGCCGGAGACGCCCATTCCGAAGGTGCTAGACACTTTGAATTATCGAATTTGTGAGGTATGCCGGGCTTACACTCTCAACTACGTGAATTCTGTGAAATCCAACCGTAATAATGAGTATAAATACGGTAAGAAAGTTGCTGTCTCGTGGGGTGTGGACAACAGTGACTGCATTGTGATGGCGATTTTTGGTGAGAAAGAACTGTGGTACATAAAATCAGGCGATGAGAAGTGGACTAAGGTTTATAATAAGTATGGTTATAATAGAAGTAGCTTTCTTGATGTTGTGTTCTTCAGCGGCAAATTTTATGCGCTTGATGTGAATGGAGCTGCGTGGGTGTTCGATTCTGAATTCGAGCAAACTAGAGTCATATATAATTTATTCTCCTATGCTTCTAAAAAGCGTTTGGTGGGACTGTATGATAGGGAGTTGTATTTGGTAGAGGGGTCGACTGATAAGGACAAAAGAGTCTGCAGGTGCCGTGAAGAATATGATGAAGCGTGTATATGTAGGTTTCCAAATACCCCTGTTCTGGGTACCTTTGTTGAGATTTTGATTTATCGGATGGATAAACAAAAAGGGGAGTGGGTTATGGATAAAACTATAGATGAGCGGATAATATTTGCAGGCGATGATTGCTCGTTCTCTCTTCCTGCAAAGGAATTTGAGGGATGTGATGGGACTCGTGTTTTTTACACGGATCAGTACTTTGACTATAAGACCGAGGAGGAAAAGGTGGTCTATGCTCATGAATGTTTTGACGACTGGGAATGCTCTTCGGACGGTATTTCTGGCAATGATTGTTATGATTATGATTATTTCATGTGTGATTGCTGTGATTCTGATGATGATGATTGTACTAGAGTTGATGGCTTTGTTCCTGCTCTTGATGTTAAAGTCAAGTTCAGAGAATTGCATGGTCATAACACGGGTGTGTGTGATTTTGGAAGTGGTAAAATGGGGTCGTTGCTTAGGTTTCCCGAGTATGCTGACATATTCTGGCCACCGCCATCTTGGCTCAAATAGGGTGCTTCTTTTGGATGTTCGCAAGGTTAGAAATTTTTCCTCCTGGCTCTTGCATTTAAGGATTGTACTTTATGCATTTCCTTCTTATTATCGACTTTTCCGTGTGGAACCATAGCTTGACATCATTGCTATTTGTATTATTATTGTTTATCATTGACTAACTTTTTTTTTATTTCTTAATTATTTGAACATATGCAGGTAGTAGCTTTTGAATGGTATCATCAGTAAACGTGAAGCGGGCATGCTTTATTTGTGAATATAATAATGCAACATTATGTTTAGTAAATGATGATTATATTAAGTTTAGCAGACTATTTTTGTTGGCTTGTTTTGCTGTTGGTAGCTCTTTGGTGCTTTTAGTAATAAGTATTACATCAGGTTCTCTAGTAATTTTGGTATTTTATTTTATATGAGCTACCCAACAACTTTTGGATTGTGAAGTATATTAGATGCAGCATTTTCTGGTGTTTTCTGGGCACTAATCTTTTATCATTGTTTTGGTGGCCTTTGGATAATATATATATTTTTTTTCTGTTAAAATATTTTTAATTAATTGTGTTGCTGGAATTATAAATGAAACACTTTAAAAAAAAATATTACTCATTTTATTTTATTTTCTTTATAAATTTACTAAAACAATTAAAAACAAAATTTAATAATCATAATATATGTAAATTATAAAATAGCTCATGTATTTATATCTACTTGTCTCATGATAAATTATCCAAAAGAGGTGTGCTCGTGTGCATTGTTAGTTGTTACTCGTTTTTAGTGGTGGAATGAAGTTATCGATCTTTTGTAAAATAAAATAAAACTAGTATTAATACCCATGTACAACATGAGTGTTGAGTTAATGAATATATGTGTAAAGTTATTTATGTCTAATACTAAATCTAATTCCAGAGCAAAAATAATATAAATACAACATCACGAAGCATAGATTTTCGTTATGTCAGCATCCGAAGCGTGAGAATTACCCTCTAGGCTCGATACATTTTGAATTAATATATAAGGAGGGATAACATGGCATGACTTTAAGTTTTGCCACATGCTTCTCTTCTCCAACAGAGACGAGCCCAAAAGCCGTTTCACATGCGGCCGCAAAATTTGATGCAGAGCCCAAGTGTTCTGGGTCCAAATATATTGATGACTTATTTTCGAAGCTCACTAGAGTTTGGTGTCATGCATTTATTTTTTTCAATTTGAGCTTTTAACCTAGGTCGACTCATTAGGGTTTTAAAATATATGACTGTTCATAGTTTCGTTCGTTAATACTCGAGTTCGACTATTGAAAATTTGAGCTTATTGATATTGATAAACGAGTTGTTCGAACTTTCGGCTTGTTTATCCTCCTACTTTTGATATGTAGTTTGCAGACGGTGAAACTTTTTCACTTTTACGTTTTTTATTTTATTGTTTATTTTTGGGATAGCTTGCTAATTTGGTAGCTAAAAAATAATAAATAAATTATGTATAAAAATTGCTTGAATATAATAGTTTAACAACGACCGCCACGCCATTGCCGACAAAGTACGTCTTCCTGGGCTGTGTCTTAATTGAACTTCTTGCTACAGTCTATAATATATTGCTTTCTCCTTGAAAAATATAACTATGACCAAAATGTATGGCACGTGATAAGCTATAATATATTGCTCTCTCCTAGAAAAATGTAAGCAAAATTACATTTTTAATCCTGTTATGTTAACGATGTAGTATTTTTAGTTTCAATATTTTAACTTTTGTCTTTTGATCTTGTAATTTTGTATTTTGCTGCAATTTCAGTCATTTGAGACTGAAATTGTAACAAAAAATTTGTTACAATTTCAGTCTCAAATGACTGAAATTGCGTTGAATTTTAAAATCATATGACCAAATAGCAAAAATGTTCAAAATTTAAAATTACAAGATTAAAAATATCACTGCATCAAACCAACATGACTAAAATGGTAATTTTGCCACAAAAAAGTATGACACATTATTAGTTATATAATGAAGACCAACTAAATAAACACTAACTTTTTAATTAACAACTCCAAGTCATATTATTAATATTATAGTGACATTTCTTGTAATACCATCCAAAAACAACCATTACCAATGTTTTAAAATTCGTGACTTGGACTTTTTGCATGAATCAGATATGGGCAATAGTTATATTTATTAAGGACCCATTAAATTATAATAATAATAATAATAGTTAATATAACTAACCCATTAGGTTAGAAAACTCATTAGACTCTATTACTCTTTTAAGATTTTTGAGGAAAAAAAAAAGTCATGAAATGTTAACTTATTTAATATTGTATTTGGTAAGATTTTTAAGACTTTTGAATTTTTAAACCCAAAAAATATATATATATATATATATCTGTATGTGTGTGTGTGTGTATTTCACTACCAAATATCACATTTTGACTCAAACTTCTAAAAATTTCACTAAAATCACAAAATCGTATAAAATTGTTTTCTTAAAATATTATTCAATATTTCAAAGGAATACACTCATACTTCTCTCAGTTCGAGAGAATAAATTGTACAGTTTTTCAGACTGGTAGTTGTTATGTATAACCAATAATATAGAATGTTAAAAGAAAAAAATAATGACAATATATTTTTATATATTAAATTCATAGTTATGTACAAAATTCAAAGTTTGTTTAAGAAAATTTTAAAGTTATTACTAGTATATTATAAGAACCATTTTCATTTTCATGTTGAATTATCAAAATTACATATAATAAGTATCCACTACTCTTTTCGCTAAAATATTGTCAAAATTAATAGTCTAAATCGAACACATAATCTAATGGGTTAATATGTAAAATAATTTAATTATTACTTACACTTAATTTGATAATTATAATTTAATATGTAAACTAATATGAAAAAAAAAATTATAGTAATTTAAATCAATAATTTTCACACACTACCACAAAACACTAGAAAGTGGGGAAAGACGAAATTCTAGAAATAATAGTAGTATTAAGCAAATAAAAACAACGGAAATTGCGTGTTTGACCGTTGACGCGATACAGTCATTAAAAGGCAATCCCGTCTGACCGTCCCATTGCGCAAAAGACTCTCACTTTATAATTTTACACACTCACCCACTTGCAATTGCAACGCGTGTACCTCAAATGCCTTTTCTTTTTTATTTTTTATTTTCACTTATTCATCTACTTATTTTATAAAAAAACTCTTATTAAAATAACATGTTACAATAATACCATCATTGATGATAAAAGAAATTAGGGTACATGATATTGCAATTGAAACAATAATATAAAGTTAAACTTGTTGATGTATAGACTAATAAGAAAAATAAATTATTTTATAAATAAGTATGAATGTAAGTTTAATTATCATATAAATTTTATTGGTTTCGAAAATAACATAATTATTTACTTTTTAAATTTAAAAACAGATTTATCACATAAAAAACTATTTACATAATTAAGGATCGTTACTTTAGCACGTAATAGTATTATGTTAACTATTTTAATTGCAAAAAAATATATATTTTAATTGCAATAATAATATATAGTTACCTCAAAACAGAAATTGCCCTTTTTCTGAAACAACCCCAGCAATCAAACTACTGCGCTAACGCGCAACGGCTTTCGCGCTCTTATACAATATATATCAAATATATAAGCGTCAACGAAATTTCATAACTTCAGTCGAAATTATTAACAATAACTGAAGGTCAGATCTCTAAATTTTTCATCAATTCCCAAAATGTGAATAATTTATAACAATTATGCATTAATATAGTACTACTTATTAAGGAAAATTCAAATAAAATAAATTGAATATATAAAGAATAAAAAAAAAAATATGAATTTGTCTTTAGCGAGTTACTAATGTTCCCTGGGTAGGAGCGTGACCAATGCAAAGCCTTGAAATATTCCGATCCACAAACGACGCCGTATTATCCAAAATTCCCAACCCAGCCACAAGCAGACTATATAAATAGCCCCAAATTACAACACTTAAAATGTCCATTTCATTTCATCACATAAAAATAAAAAAGAGAAAAAAAAAAAAATACCATCAAATAACAAAACAAAACAAAAATCATGCAATTTGCTGTAGCGCCACCAAGCCCGTCGATGTTCGCGCCGTCGCCGAGGCCGAGGCCATTGTCTCCGGTTTTCTGCAAGTGCGCCACCTCCCCTCCGCCACCTCCGTCGCTGTCTCCTCCGCCACCGGCTTTCCCGCTCCAACATGTGCGGAAGCCACCAGAGGCTGTAGAGTCTCCCAAGGACTCGTCGATGTTGAAGAGGAAAAGGTCTCTGTTGGGGCTTGATTCGATGAGGATTGACATTACGCGGCCGAACTTAGGGTTTGAGAGCTGGGGGGCGGCTCCGGAGATTGATAGGTGGCGGGAGGTGGAGTCTGAGCGGGAGGGTTATTCGGTGTGTTGTAAGAAGGGGAAAAGGGCCGGCGTCATGGAGGATCGCTACGCCGCCGTTGTAGGTCTTCAAGGGGATTCCAAGCAGGTTCGGTTTGTTCTTCGCCAATTTTTTTCTCTCTTTTTTTGTTTGGTAGGTGATATTGAGTTGACTTTTTTGTGACTGACAGCCTGTTGTGATATTATTGTTAATACTGATTGTTTTAAGTGTGTGAAGCCGTTGAAGATTTGTTTATTTTGTAGTTCAGCCAACAAATCTGAATAGCTTTTAATTGTGAAGTTAATGCATCTGATTTTGTTACTATTGATGAGAATAGATTGCATGAATCTGGTGAAAAATGAAATTAAAACGAGCTTCTGATTTGATGAATTAGGTTGTCTATTTAGTGAATTCAGATTCCTGTTATTCAATTTTGTTGAGTGCATAAATCTCAGGCTTTCTTTGGTGTATTTGACGGTCATGGGGGCGTTCAAGCTGCAGAATTTGCGGCAGAGCATTTGCATAAGAATGTTATGAAAGTAGTGACTGAAAAAGGTGAAGAAATCGAGAGGGCAGTCATGGAGGGGTACCTCACCACAGATGCCGAGTTTCTCAAGAAAGATGTCGGTAGCGGGACGTGTGCTGTGACTGCATTCATCCACAAAGGGCATCTTGTGGTCTCTAATGCCGGGGATTGTCGAGCGGTCTTGAGTCGCGGAGGTGTTGCTGAGGCCCTCACTGTCGACCACCGAGCCTCGCTGCTTGAAGAAAGACAAAGGATTCAGAGTCTGGTACTCTCCCTTTCTCTATCACCGACATGAGTAATGTAAATTTGATGGCATGCACTATGCTATGATAAGTTTCTTAAATATTTTTTTTATTTTTCTTTTCTTAATGAAGGGTGGTTTTTTATTCTATGCACATGGAGTTTGGAGGGTAAATGGTTCTCTTGCTGTGTCTAGAGGAATCGGAGATAGGGATCATAAAGAATCGGTTATAGCTAAGCCCGAAACCAAAGTGCTTGAAATTAGTCCGGATTGCGAGTTTTTGATCCTGGCCTCTGATGGCTTGTGGGATAGTGTAATCTCTCTCTCTCTCTCTCTCTCCCCAAACACACATAACACAAGTGTAATTTGATGTTTCTGAATGCATTGGGTTGCTAAAGCTTTCTTTTCCCCTATTTTGTTCCTTCTTCAGGTAGGCAATCAGGAAGCTGTAGATTTAGTCCGATCTCTATGTGTTGGGGTGGACAAGCCGGAACCTTTATCCGCTTGCAAGAAGCTCGTTGATTTATCTCTGAAAAGAGGGTGCCTCGATGATGTAAGCGTGATGGTTGTTCAACTAACTCGATTCCTTCCGTGACTGGCTTGAGAGATTTAATTGGAAACGTGCTGCAGTGTCGAGGTTTGATAGGCCGGTGAAGCTTTTTGGTGTTGGGCGGACATCAAAAGCTGAAGTATATTTCTATGCATAATTAGTTTCGTAGAGTTTTTAACTATTATATATGCGAGGCAAGGATTAGTTTCAATTCTTGTTTAGTGCTTGCAATTTTGCCAGCAGCAAGAAGAAAGAAGATTGTTTAGGCTGACATTGATAGGTTTAAATATAGCCTTATATTGTTCCAATTTTCTTACATAACATACTCTGCCTAACTTTAGTCGACTGCGTAAGTGGAGCTTTTTGTAGTGTAGAAAGTTCGAAAGTGAATAAAATTACCTCTGTTAGCCGGTTGTCGATATTCCACTGCTTTTGTCGTTATCAATCTTTATTAAATCTGGTGTTTTATCTGCTTCTTTACAGCACGATAAGCATCAGCAGTTTTGTGCTATTGGTTTATACAGTTATGCTTGGTTTAAATTCCTCCTTGCAATATGGTGAATCTTGGCATGATGAATCACTTTGATGTGATAGGAAGTTTGACTATAGAGAGAGCATAAACATCATCAACTATAAGTGTTAGTGGGGCATGAGCTTTGTTTTTTCATGAACAAAATCTTGTTCAACCCATGAGATTGGAACTTGGTGCATTATTGGGTCTTTGTTATGGCCTATGGGTACCCACTTATGGTCAGGTCTGGCAGCTGTTTAGTTGTTCTTTTAAGAGAGAAGGATATACTGGGAAATACTAAGGGCTTGATTGTATACCAATTAATTTACTCACTTTTATTTCAACTCAAAATCTAACTCAACTTTAACTCAACCCCACTATCTTATATATTATTTATATAATTCAATAATACAAACCAATCATTCTTATACATCACATCAACTTTAAGGTTGTGTTTGGTAAACCAATAAGCTAGTTTATAGCTTATTTGATTAGCTTATAAGCTCTATTTATTTAAATAAGTTCTGTTTGGTAGGACAAGCTTATTTAAAAAGCTCGAGCTTATTTGATAAGCTTGTTTAGGTAGCTTTTCAAATAAGCTAGTTGGATTTTTTATTTTAGCTAGCTTTTCAGCTATAAGTCATAAGCTACAAGCTATAAGCTCGAAAATTACTGATAAGCTATAAGCTAGCTTATCAGCTAGTTTTACCAAACATAGCCTAATTCACTATTCATCCACTCACATAATTTTAACTACTTATCATTTCCAATCGTTTCCAATCATTTATCTCTTACTTTTATATCAAATCAATTTTAAGCATTTTATTTTAAATATTATTTTAATACATTTTTAAAATTCCACTAACAACTAACTATACCACCTTTTTTAAAATTAACTATCATTAACCAAAATAACCTATTTTGGACAAATTATTTCATAAACAATCCAAGCCCTAATAAATCCAAATCATGCGATGAATCTTAAAATGGTGGTATTACCGTTTTACACTTTTACTGTCTAATTTGATTCGATTTCCCGAAATTGTTAATGACTCACAATTTCTACAAATTGGTTGTTAGAATTTGTAATGTTTGTGCTACAAAAAAAAAAAAGGACTTTGACTTCGGTAGACGTATTATAAGTTAAATATCAATTAATTTGAATAACTCGTTAGAATTTGTAATGTTTGTGCTACAAAAAGAAAATGGACTTTGACTTCGGTAGACGTATTATAAGTTAAATATCAATTAATTTGAATAACTCTTGGGTTAAAAATTAATATTTTAATTTATAATATGTCAAATTAAATTTTTTATTATCTCTTACATTGAGAATCATAGTTTTTTTCGCAGTTCTCTTATTTACTTACCGAAAGAAGTGTGTTGTTGACTATCAAAATTTTTCGTAGTTCTCTTTAATTTACTTACCTTGATTAAAGAAGTGTGATGTTGAACCGGTGAGGACAGTCGTAAAGCGGAAAATTAGAAATTATAAAGATTTGTCAACAAATTTCCACTAACTAGTAGTAACGACAAATAAATGTCGATCCCACGAAGGGATAAGAATTATATTGCGACTATACTCGTATTAATCATATTAAAACTAAGAATGCAATACAATGTGTGGTGATTGATTCTATATAAAAATAAAAATAAAAAAATAAAATAAAAATCAAATAAAATGAGAGAAGTCTAATTTGGTCCAGTTATCACCCAATCCAAAACTACCGTTAACTAAATTCAAGACCTCATTTAAATTGCTAATGAATTACCAACTCTGGTTAACAACAAACTATGTTAACTGAATATTTCCTTACCGAATATTTAGTGTAAATGAGTTCTTCGACTAAACCTACCTATTGGACAACCTAGAATGATCAGGCACTAGCATCGTTAATTTCTAAGAAAATATATTGGTCTAAACAATAGAAGCGCATGTTCGTACCATTTAACTTATGCTCACGCTACCATAGGGACGCATGACCACTAGTTTACTATAATGAAAGAAGAACAATAACAATTACGGATTAAAGTCTCATCTCTAACAAATAAACTATGAATATTCAACATAGTCGCCCGAACTTAATCAATCACTCATAATTCATAAACATTAAAAATAAATGTCACGAATCAACTCGTCAACAAAAATAATTACTATATCTCGATTGACCAACTTAAATAAAAATCTTTCAATTCATAGACAAATCAAACTTATAGTTCAAACATCCCTTGAATCTGGATAAAAATATACTCTAGCAAATTAATAAAAAGTAAAAGATACATAAAAGAGAGAGAATGTAATCTCCCTCCGTGTGTGGGACGCGACTTCCCTCCGCGTGCACTCTTTCTCAGTCCATGCGTGTGTGTTTGCGTATGTCCTTCGCAAATAAATCTCGGGCCTGTTACTCTCGACTTTCTTCTTCCCACCCCTCAACAGCCAAAAACCTCTCCATAATGTATATAGAAATCATTCTCGAACAAAAATGTCCATCCTTCTATCACCGACCAAGCCCCAAATATTCCATTCGAACTTCTACTCTTTCCCATTTTTTTAATCCCTCGGCTAGAATAATAAAAAGGGGAGATGTTACGGTCCCGTTACGGGACCATTCCGTCGGGATTTGTAACCGTTAGATCAACTATCTCTGACGGTTACATGATAATCTAACGGTTACAAATCTCGATGGAATAGTTTCATAACGGGACCGTAATATTTCCGAATAAAAGAAACGAAGCCCAACTTTTTCTCTTGCTCTTTTGCATGTTAAATGCCATTGTAGTAACTTTGTGCCACTTTTGTCATCCCTTAGCCCACATCAAGCTAATGGGTTTGGGTCGACATA